AAAATGCTAAAAGTATAAGGTACTAAAAGTGAAATGAGAACAGCACAAAGAAAACCAGAAATAAAATTACACATCAAATCTAAAACAAAAAAAATCTTTGATTTACACATACTAAAATAGGTTAAAGTTGATAAATGCAACAATGAATATAATACTGCACTATATGCTATTACAGAAACTCATATAATCACTTGGGAAACTGAATCCAGATATTTTAAGAAAGAAATGAATGAAAAGACAAAAGACTCATTTAAGAATTAATCATAAAATCACAGTAGATTGATTTCAATTTCCAAACTATTTTAGGTTGACTTAGTTGGTAAAATAGGCAACTTTGATGAAAATTAACCATGTAGCCTAAAGCACAAGATCAGGACAATGATAATAGGGTGCATATGTGTGAGAAAGGGAAAGAGAAAGAGACTGAGAATTGAAGACTGTTGTAACCCTCTGAATTAGTGTGTTTTCTTTTGTTATAACAAGATAACACTGAGGCTTGGTAAGTTAGAAAAAGAGCTTTATTGAGCATATAGTTTTGAAAATGCAAGAGCATGATGCCATCATCTGCTGAGGATGATGCTAGTGATCTCATAAGGATATCATGGAAGATGGAATCAAAGTGGGAGCATGTGCAAGAGGGGGAGATCAAAGGTAAAAGAGGGCACTGAAGACCATGGAGGGGACAGTGAGCCTTTTATGACAAAACATTCTCACCAGAACTCACTTCATAAGACCGACCAGTATTATGCCTTCAGAGAACAGCATTCCCAATGATCTAATTCCCTCACTAGGCCCTACCTCTAAAAGATTACTCCTCTGTACTGCTACACAGGGCACAAAGCCTTCAGCACATAAACCTGTAGGGGACAAGCCACATTCAAACCACAGCTCTACAGAATACCCCAAAGTTGCCCTATGTAACAAAATGGAGTTAAAAAGATTTAATGTCAACTTCTAAGTCACCAGCTTCTTAACTGCACAGTTTCTGTGAGACAGCAACATGAATGGTAGCTAGCACTCTAAAAGCTGGGAGTAACTGCTTCCAAAATCAGTTCATGTGATAACCCTGAGATAGGACATTAAAAGAAATTGCCTCTTTCCTTCAGCAGTTTAGAAGTAATTCTCAACCTACTAAACCAAAGCTACATCTTCATCCAGAATACTTACTGTTTTAAAAGTGGAATTATATAAAAGCATATACAGATATAGAGAGACACATATCTCAGTATCAAACCAACAGAACCATGACCCAGCAGAGGCATTTAAACATTGGTCAGTTTCTGCTCTTACCCGTCAAACCTTCCTGTGCTATACTTAATGTCTTAGGATCTAGGACCTGAAGTTGGTTCAGTGGTATCCCACCCAAAATATTAATGAATAAATAAATTAGTAAATGCATTAACAAAAAATCAAAAAGAAATATTCACACCTGTGTTTTTAGAACCTAAAAACAAAATGATAGAAATGTGACAAAGAGAAAGAAGTCTTTTTCCACAGATACTCTGAAAAGACCTATAAATTATGTTCACAAAGAAACTGAGACACAGAAGATTGAAACTGAAACTTGATACTTACATTTATCCACAATGTCAATAATATAATATCTTTACAAGCAATAGGAAAAAAAACAAAATCTGCTTGCTGATATTCTAGTATGTCTTATAATTTATTTTATCCTCTTGAACTGAAGACACTACTAAGAATTCAATTATAACTGTTTAATAATTAATATCTCTTTAAATATTTTGATGTAACAGTATATTTATTCTCAAATACATACCAGAACTTAGAAAACCTAGAGCTGTTTTATAAAAGAAAAAATTCCAAAACACTATCAACATAAATGTACTGTAGTGAGAATTATGTTGCAATATTAACAGTTTCCAACTGTTTTCCAAGAATCTGAAGCAGTAATGTGAATTTCTTTCAATAAGGCTATAATTTAATTTTTTCTAGGGAAATGTTTTTAATAGGATTACTGACCCTTTTAACACTCTTGGAAAGAAAATGAATCTCATAAGCATTCTGGCATACAACTATTATAAAAATAAATAGAACAGTCAATCAGTAGAAATGGTAATGGACTTGAGAAACATAAGTTACTAAGGAAATGTACATAAGTATGCATGGTAATAACAGAGAGAAGATTCACTACATATAAGCAAAACAAACAAATATTCACACAAATGAAGGGCCTGGAAGGAAGAGGAGGGGCTTTGAAGAATGAGCCTTAATGTGTTTCTCAAGTAAACTGATCATGTAAACCTAGATGAGTTCTCCAGGTTCTTATTCAACTCTTAGTTAAGCCTGTCCCCAAGTCTTGTTTGGTTTTGCAGAAGGTGTTTAAATGTTTCAGAGGAAACACAGACACCGATTTAAAATATTTTTTCACTCACAATTCTTTGTGCTTTAAGAGGAATTTTTTCAGGTCATTAGTTTATAATGTGAACTGGTGCCTAGGGATATTTTGAAAGGAAAAACAACTGTTCTTGGAGATGCAGTTTATGTGACTCGCATCATCATCTATTTCAGCTCAAGTTGGGGCCCCAAACCAAACTCAAAACAAAGTTACCAGGCTTTGTGCTATAGCTTAGTGGCAGAGTGCTTGCCTTATAATATCTTTACAAACAATAGGGAAAAAAAATCTGCCTGCAATATTCTGTCTTATAATTTATTTTATCCATGTGAGGCACTAGGATTTATCCTAAGCACCACGTAAAAATAAACAAATAAAATAAAGGCATGCTGTCCATCTCCAACTACCAAAAATAAAATTTAAAAAAAAAAAAAACCTAAGTTACCACATCTGCAACAGTTGCTTTCTCTGCATGCAGTAACCACACAAAAAACTGAAAACAGACTAGACTCTGACCCCAAAGATAAACACAGTATAGCCCCTTACACTATCAAAGTCCTTGTAATAAGACTTTACTATTCCACCTTACAAAAATGAAGTGGATCACACAAATAATTTCCAAGATAATCTGAATTTTCACAATGCCACTGGCAATCCAAAATTCATTCATCCTACCAGTTTTACCCTTGTTTCCACCACCCGACCCCAGCCAGTGATTCATACTGCCATATTTGGGTCCAGAAGGTAAGAAGGAAATCAAGGCTCAGAAAAAGGAAGCACCTTCCTAAACCTAAGTCCATAAACTAAAAAGAGATTTAGTCATTCTCCAGATTTGATCTGCATATCATATCAAAACACATCATTCACTGACATCTCCAAAACTATCTTAACATGCCTAAAATCTCTAAGACCCATAAGAGTAAATAAAACCCACATTCCATGTTTTTTGTTTTTGTTTTGGGATTTGTTTGGGGTTTTTTTGTTTGTTTGTTTGTTTTTAGTTTAAATAAAACAGGTATCGATGTTATTTTAGAGCTTGAATATCACTTTTCCAAATGCATAGAAGCAGAAGTGCTTTGAATTTCAGGTTTTTCAGATTTTAGAATATTTGAAATAGACAGTAATGACATTATCTTGAGGATGAAACTCATATATACACACAAAAATTCAGTCATGTTTCATAGACACTTTAGGAGGTAATTTTATACCATACTTTTAGGGCACTGGTGTTTTGACCGTGACTTATCAGATGAGGACAGGTATGTAGTTTTCTACTTGTGACATCATAGCAGTGCTCAAAAAGTTTTGAATTTTAAATCATTTCAGATTTTTAGATTAACCTGTATCCTGCATCATAAAACAGACTAACATCACATTTCCCCTTCTTCATGATAACTATCTTTCTTTTACATCTGCTTAGAGCATAGGAATCATGACTTATAATTATGAGATCAAGTTTCCTAAAACTGTCATATGACTTCAGAGATTATGAAACCCCTGTTCTCAACTTTACATGCACATCAGAATTACTAGAGGAACTTTTACAAAATACTGAGTCCTTAGCCCCAGCTGAGCTTTAGAGTGGGCTCTAGTATAAATATGGTCTTAAAGCTCCTCTGGACAGTCTAGGTGGAGAATCAATGACCTCACTTCAAATGCAGATCAATGGTCTAAAAAGAACAAAAATTCACAGCCAACCAATGACAACCTGAGGCCGAACTTAAAATGAAGATTACAACTCCAGTGCCCATGAAAGCCACTTAAATGAAAAAGCAAACTACATGTGCAAACATTTTTAGACTGAGTACCCAAGAGTGTATATACTAGAGAGCTCACAAGGCTAAGGCTCCTGACCCTCAGCTCATATTACCATAAGGGAAATAACAGATAACAGATATCCTCACTTGATCTGAAAAAAAAGAAAAAGTCACAAATCAAGGTTTTCCTATAAAACTGTCCAACTTTTAAGCACTGGCACAATTAAAAAATGATACTGTGTGAAGCAACAAAGCATGTCATGAAACACAGCAGGGGTTTGACCTTCAGGCTTCAGGTTATTACAGCAGGGCTAAAAGGCTGTTTCCTGTCTATAGAAGCTACAGCATCATCACCAACATCACAACATTAACAATACCTGGAATTCATAAAGTGCCTACTATACATTAACCACTATGCTGAGTTTTACAAGGCTCTCAACAAGGCCTTATCAACCCTTGGGACAGGTATATTATTATTATTCCCCCTTTACTCAGCAACTACCCCCCAATGTCACATTGCCATCAAATGGTGACACCAGGATCCAAATGCATTGTAGTGTATCTTAGGTTTTTAAAATGCTTTTAACAACCTCCACTCTTTGCATTTGCATGTCTTTAAAAACAAAATGAAGGGATTATATTAAATAATTTCCTAGGGCAATTTGAGTTATCAAACTCAATGGCTCTGACTCCATGACACAGCTCTCGGATACAGAAAGACACTGGTATTTACACACATCTGTCACAGATGCCCTAATAAAAATTACCTGATAAAGGAAAAGAAGGAGTATTCATAAAATGGTCCTTCTTAAAAGACAGCAAACACAAAGACATATAATAAAATTCTTTATCTCTACTGCTGTAGAAAGTTTACTTCTCCATCTTACCTTTTGAAAGATGAGTAAAAGTGCTCCGAAACTCTTCATATGTTTGCTCATGACAATTCACAAACTTATCCAAGACTTCTTCCATTAATTGATCTTCATCCATTATTTCCAATCCCGATTTCTGGCTAGGCATTCCAGTCCACGAGGCCAATTAACCTAAGACACAAAGTAAAACATGAACAGAGAGTCATGCAGTCCCAGCTGCTCAGAAAATACCCTGGACGGGCAATGCAAGATTCCAAGGCCCCAAAAGGACAGAAAAAATTCTAGTCAATAAATCAGTTTTATTCATATAACTGCACATTTGTGTTTAGCTTCAGTTTCCTTCTTTCCATCTTCTTAATTTTCAAGAATATTGTCACATAACTACACAATTAGAAATTCAAAGTCTTTTAAAGTGAGAGTAACTTTAAAGGGTATATCAACTAACCATTCATCCCATGTCAACAATATGAGCACATTTTATTAGTGACTTATTTAGCACTTACTGTGTACCAGGTTCTGTTCTGAGCACTTTAATGAAAATCATCATAACCCTCTCTTAGGTCACAGAGACAGCCGGTAGAAAGAAGTGTCAGTGCTAGGTGTCTGATCCCAGAAATCAAGTCCTTATGCACTTCACTATGCTTAACTCTATCCTGTGACTCACTTTTACTGTGGCTCACAAACAGGTGACTTGACTGTGCTTTCACACAACCAGGAATTGGAAACGCTGACATTCCAGAGTAGTCTTTGGACAGCTTTATCACCTCTATACCCTAGCCCAACTGGGCCCTGAGTTAGTGAGCTTGTCCTGAATAATTTCAATCCTTACTTCTTGTAACTGACATCTTTCCATACATTAAAACTGGGCCACACTGTCCTTTCTGGATCTTCTCATTCCATTCACTGGAATACATTTCTTTGTCAAATCCCAGCTCAAAGTTCAGTTACTCTCCAAATGCCTTAACCTCCCATTGAACTCATATGGTAGGGCGAACTAATCTGAATTAACATGAGAGTATTTATGGCTTTTGTTTATTCTACTCAGTACAACTATTCACGGTTTCCCTAAAGAAATCCTACTGGGCTGCATATGAGGTGCTTTCCCAGACCCCACTGCACATTTGTATAATAGATGGTTTGTGCACTGATTGCCTTTGCTCTACTCCAAAAAATTTCTGGAAAAGTAATAAGGAATTGTGATGCTACACAATTCAGGATTACTATGATGATTAAATTACTATGTATCTCAAGATATGTTAGGGATAATGACCATGATGATGATGATAATGATGATGATGATGATGATACTGATGAAGGACAGGACCAGTCTTAGTATTCTGTCCTTTGCTTCCACAAAGCTTTCTCATGACTGTTATCACTCTGACATGGAATGTACTGATGTTACATAAGATAAATCCAAATAGTTCCCCATGCATTACAGTCTCAGATAAAACATGTAAAAGACTGGGGTGAAAATAAAATGTGTATGTAGATACTAATTTAAATTGAAAGACACTTTCAAACTATTGGTACCTGGAAAATTAGACAGGAAAACTCATCAGTTATGGCTTATGCAAATTTATCTATAACAATGCCAGGCTTCAGCAATGAAGTTTACTCAGTTATGTTTGCAGTTGCTAGATAATAAATACTGATAAATAATCTCAATGGTGGCTATTATTTCACTATCAGTAGGACGTGTACCTAATTATAAGAATTCTAACATCGATGTACTTTTCCAGAATTCGAGCCTAGCAAAACTTCAGCAATGCATAATATTAATCTCTTCCTTGAGCCATCTCTGGTAGTGTGCTTCAATGAACAAACATCAAAAGAAGTAGCCAGGTTGTGGTTTCTACTACTCTTTTTTTTTTTTTGGTATGGGTATTGAATTCAGGGGCACTCAACCACTCAGCCACATCCCCTGCCCTATTTGTATTTTATTTAGAGACAGGGTCTCACCGAGTTGCGCCTTGCTTTTGCTGAGGCTGGCTTTGAATTCCCAATCCTCCTGCCTTGGCCTCCCGAGCTGCTGGGAGGCATATGCTACCACACTCGGCTCTTGAGGATATTTTAATAGTAATGACAGAAATACTTTTAGACTTGCTTTCCAATTTGTGCATTGGTATGTTCTGAGTATTTACCCTTAACACATCTCAGTAATACCAAAGGCAAACAATTAATAGGTTATGCACAACACAAATTCAAAATCCTTCAAGGTCTTTAATTTTATCTATATGGTCATAAGACTATAACAATACAGATTTTATTGACTTTATTGACTTTCTAAGACTTTGGAATATAAATTATTACTGGAAGAACTTAAAAAGTATTCATCTTCAAATTTAGAACTTTCCTTATCTATAAAAATAAAAATAACTAATGTTAAAGGGCCCTAGGGACTGACAAAGCAGATAATCATTGGCCAGACACTCAAGTGGTTTATGCAAATCATAGTGGTTTTCTAAAAGGAAGCTGGTTTTTTAGTTACCATTCACATACTTTTGTGTTTTTATCATGAAGTATTATTCTGAGGGGAAAGATAGGGGAGACTTGTCTAGACAACAAGGTTCATTGTTTGGTTTATGTTTTAGGGCTTTGCATACCACACGGAAGACCTAGTACATATTATAAGGATAAGGAAATGTATATAAACATCAACCAGTTAATCAGAAGCAATACGTTCGCAGGCATAGCCTCCAGTAGGAACCAGGTTCTCTTTTTATCCAGCACTGGGTAAGAGGGGGGTAAAAATTACATAATTTCCCAGAAGTACTATTTTCTATTATCAAATAATAAAACCAACAATTATCTAAGCTAGTTAAAGTTTTATGTTCTCTGAAAGTGTACTATTATGAAATATGGTATATAAAAGTATTACCATTGACTTGGCACACCTTAAATTTTTATCTTCAGTTGCTGCTTAATGAACTTTCCCAAAAGAAATACAACTTCTAGCCAGGCAGATGGCTCACGCCTGATATCCCAACAGCTCAGGAGGCTGAGATCAAAGCCAGCCTTAGCAAAAGTAAGGTGCTAAGCAACTCAGTGAGACCCTGTCTCTAATAAAAATACAAAATAGGGCTAGGGATGTGGCTCAGAGGTCGAGTGCCCCTGAGTTCAATCCTCAGTACCCCTCCCTATCCCCAGGGGAAAAAAAAAATACAACTTCCAGAGATATCAGTGGTAAGCTTTAAAAAGCAAGTCACCATGAACTAGACTCTCAAAGTGCATTGCCTGCAAAGAGGGTAGTATGCCTGCAAAAAGTGGTGGAGGAGAGTAAAAAAATTAAGGTTTACTACTAAAACGCAAAAATAATACATAATAACACATTTTTAAAGAGTTGTGCAGGGTCTATCAAAGCCCACTTTCTCAAACCTTTATAGTTCTGTGCAATCAGGACTTACTGCTATGTTGAAAGGAAAATGAAATATTATCAAAATAATTTGCCTCACCTAAGGAAATAAAGTCATCACCCTGTACTTCACAGGTAGGTGGCCTTTTACATTAGTACAAATGCTCAAGTCTCCAAAAGACCAAATTGCACTGTTAACTGCACAGATTTATATACATGATAGAAAAGACTGGGTAGGAACTGCTTTCTTTTTTCTTTACTGAACTATAATAGTTATGCATTCTCTGACTTTTTAATGTCCTTTACATAATATTAAGGAGAAATAGATTCAATGACAGAATCTCTGAGCTGAGAGAAACCTGATACTTATCTAGTCCAATCTGAGAAAATAATGAATCTGAGAAAGAAACTTCAGGTAGGGCTTCTGTCAACTAATGAGTCTTTTGAACCATAATGAGATTCTCATGATTATGAAATTTAAGGGACACACAAAGTCAGTTACCAAGTGACAAGCTACCCCTGGATAGGCATCCTCAGGCCTCCAGCTACATTCTGAATCCCAATAATACATAGAACACCTTAAGGCTGAGAAAATACATGTGTCATTATTTTTGAGACCTATAATTACACCCAAGAAAACAAAGGAAGAGATAAAAGGCAGAAAGAAGAAGGCAGAATATAAAACAAAACATAGCTTATTAAATAGAAGAGAACCTAAAACTCCTTTATTTTTTTTTTCAAGATGAGATAAAAACATACAACTCTAGCATCAAAGAATACATGGCACTTCAAGTGATAAACTTCTTCCAACAAGGCTTTTCTAACATATAAAAGGCATGAAATGCTTCATTATTACCCAAAAAGTTAATAGCATAAGCATCTAGATTTCTATGTAAATTCCTCTCAGTAAAACTCTCTTCATTATTAAAGAAAGTATTTGGAGGGAGGGGGGGAAGGATTTTGGATTACTGTCCACTCCAAAGCTAAAAAGAAGAGAGACGGGTTACCTCCTATGCAGAGGTCTTAGAAATAGGTATGTCTCCACAGCTGTACACTTTTTCTTGACCAAAAAAAAAAAAAACATAACTCAAGAAAAAGAGAAAGAACACATCCATATTAAAACTACACATAATTTTTAAATGCAGGTTCAGTACACACTTCCCATGAACAGAGAGATCACAAAGTTTGTCTTAACAGATCTAGTTCTTTCCTGAGAAGATTGATAGTTTACATATTCTAAAATAGACCCCAACTGTAATGAATGATTCTGATCAACCTTTCCATGACTTCTTCAAGTTAAAGCAATTTGGAATTCAGGGAAAGCATTTTAAAATGAAGGAGGTAACAGGAATAAGAAAAATAAAAACACGTCAAGACAAAACAGATTATAAAAAGCAAGCAGAAAAATATATAGGCAATTTTTAAAACACAGGACTAGGCAGAGTTCTTATATTTGACCCCAGAAGTATGATCAAAGAGAAAACAACTGGGGCTGGGGTTGTAGCTCAGTGGTAGAGCGCCTGCCTAATGTGTAAGAGGCACCGCGTTCTATCCTCAATACCACACAAAAAAATACACATATAAAATAAAGTCATTGTGTCTATCTACAACTAAAAAATGTTTTTTAAAAAAAGAGAAAAACTGACTAACTGAATTTCATCAAAATTAAATTTTTTTCTTCTACCAAAAACCCTCTTAAGAAGATGAAAAAATTTTTTACAGACTAGAAAAATATATTTTCAACAAAAGACTAGCATCTAAATACACAAATAACTTCCAAAAGTCAACACTGTATCCAACTTAAAAAGAACATGCA